CTCTGCGGTGTCCCAGGTGGACACTTTTAAATGTGAGTGTATTGGAATATTTTAATAAAGTCGGTTTTATTTGGCAATACTTCACTATATGGAGCATTTTTTTCATGTTTGTGGAGCATTCTGGAGATTTTAAGTGCTGACGGTGGTGAAGATCTTGGTACCAATATACCCTCCCGGGTTAAAGGGACCAGCGTAGTTTGACCTGGTATTTTGGGTCAAACTTGTAGGTGAGTGCAATTGTGTGTCAGAGGTGGATGAGCACTAAGGGGTGACACAGAAGCATCGTACATGTGTATACAGTAGCGTGATCGCACAGACTCACCTAGAGAACAGTGGATTTAAAGGGATGGTTCACCTATTTTTTTTTGTAAATCATAATTTTGGGACACTTATTGATGGTATATTTGGCATACTTGGTATATTTGGTATACGATGCACAGGAGATATACCGCACAAGCACATGTGAAGATATTGGAGTGTTAAAGGGACAGTCCACTACTTTGAACAGTTAATTTGATATTTGTATACACTATTCATTCTGCACTGATATATGCAGTTTTATGGGTATTCATATGTATGTGCTTATATATATTTGATGTAGCACATATTATTGTCATGAAGCACAATTTTTGTTTTCACTATTCGTTTATGCACGTTGGATATTAGCAGCACCGTATTTGAGTTTATAGTATTGCGCTGCATTTTTTTGATTTATGGTTTACATGTGGGAATACATTACATGCTAGCTGCAATATTTGTCTCATTGGAGGTCCATTGCGCTGAGGATTTTTTCATACAACGTTTTAACACTATTCCTGCCTTGACAATGACCTACAGGAGGATAGCATCAGGGTGAATATGAAGATATACAGATATATATATATATTTTCGATGTACAGAATTGGTAATTTGGACATCCATAACCTGCAAGAGAATGTGCAGAGAACAACAGAATCATTTTAAGGATGAAAATGAGAGAACTCTTAAGTGGGTTGTGCCCACAATGTGCATACTTTATGCAGATATGCTTATCTATCTATGACAAGATAAACAGACAAGACAAAATAAAGGTTTTCTAGACTGCCCCAGGATATGGGCTCTGCAAAAAGAGTGTCATACCTATTGCAAGACATACATGAGCAGCACATATGACAAAAGAGAACGCATTATTGCCTGTTCTTATTATAAACACTAAGACTAAGTCTCAGGAACCATTTTACTGAAAGCAACTTATGCTGGCCATAGACGGTTCGAAAATCGGCCGATTTTTGCACTGTTAGTGGGTTAATTGGTCGGCCAGTTTTTGGGTTTTTTGCACTTTGAGATTATCAGTCATGTTGGAAAATTAGCCAATTTAGAAAAACAGCCGATTTTCCCGTCAATGATGGCTAAATTGGACGATCGTTTTAACAATAAAAAAATTGCGCATGAGCTGTGACCTGCAAGGAACAGAAGTTTGGCTGTTATATGGGGTGAACTTTATTATTTAGTCGGCCGATTTTTGGGATCGTTGGTGGTAACGTCGGCACGATGAACGACCGATTTTTCGTTTATCGTTCGAAAAATCAGCTGATGTTCGACCCGTCTACGGCTTGCTTTACAACCATTCTCAAGCATGCCTGCAAATCTCTGAGAAATGATAAGGAGTCTTACAGCACTCGAGTGCCTGTTTATTCTTGACCTCTACCTAGAAGCAATATGATTAGTAAACCGATTTTCTGCATGGTCAGGCCTGACTCTTTCAGTGTTCTCTGCCATCAACTATCCCTTTACGTATCTGGTAGAACACAAGAAAACTGAGATTCAAAATGGTTCTAATTGAAAAAAAGAAAATAAAAAAGCAAATGACAGCAGTCAAAGATAAAACAAAAGCACATCTGCAGGTTCTGCAGCAACAAGTAATAAATAATCTGGAAAATATCCTTGAAATTCCAAATTCATACAAAAAAATATATATGACTATCCAGATATAACTTGAGCTGTACATTTCCTGAAAGGGTGGCAAGTAGTACCTGGTGTCCACGGATTTATCCAATAGTAGTAACAAAGAGATAAGACTTATGAAGTGTCTAGTGTGGAGAGTTTCAATGTACGAACATCCTGTGTCTTCACAGTGTACAGCTCTGTGCTCTCCTCAATAAGTCCTGTGTATCTCTGATACTGTCCATTCCCAAGTATTATGAACCGATGATGGGACACAAACAGGAGACCAAAATATAGTAGTAGCGATAAAGTAATGGATGGTGAGAGTGGGGAATTTAAGAGTCTTTTAGTTCCTTTCCTGTACAAATACAGTCTCTTGAGGACACAAGCCTGCTTCCTGTAATGTGATGTCATAGTCCAAATGTGATAGCTTTCGTCTGGGAAAGTTTGTTAAAAGCTCAAATCGCTCGTTAGGGTAACCTTTTAGCTGAACGTGTTTTACCAAAGCCTGCCGAGAAAGATGAAGACAATGTTACAAACCAATGGCATCACAAAACCATATTACACTAAAAAATGTCGTATTGTATTTGCATCCTGCTCTGAAAACTCTGTTCAATACAGTCTATGCCTGGGAACAATGGCCATTACACCATGTTAAAGCTAACAATATTACCCAGGCCAACACACATTTTGGTGTCTCCAATGTTAGACCTGTTCCTGGGTAAATAAGACCCGCTGATCACAAAAAGGGCACACATTTTTTCCCTAGTTTTTGAGATACAGCATAAAGGCCATAGTCCACTCTTCATTTTAATATAGTGTTTTATTTAATCTTGTACCATGAAAGACACATAAAAAGTAGCCATAACCTCTACGGTGCCTGAGCTGCAAAAATGAAACAATATGAGTGGCAATATTACACACATCCTATAAAATCATATCTATAATACAGTTAACAACGTACACTTTAGAATCCTATGTTTCTGATGTAAACTTACAGTTAAAAGTACGTGAATACTCTTACTAGATCTGCTAACTTGTATGCAAAAACTAGGTAACAGAAGAACAAATTGTTCAGAAAGATCTTTTCAGACTAGGTTCACATTAGCCCCCAACACTGCGGGCTGGTTGCGGGTATGGGAAACGATGCGATTCCCACAGCGCAACCACCCGCAGCCTCATTGCGTTTCTCTTACGAGACGGGGGGGGGGGGGCATTCATTCTGAATGGCACCCCCACTTATCCTATCCCACAGCGTGATCATGGAGTAACCACACAGAAATTGCATGGTCAAAAAGACCATGAGGTTTCCGTGCGGATGCGTTTTGGAGAAGGTGCATGCATCTTTTCCTTGCATGAAACGTGGCCACAGCAGCCCATTCCAATGAATGGGCTGCCATGCCCACGCAAAGTGTGAACCGGGCCTAAAAGATTATGTAAATTCAACCATATCTAAGAAACTAGAACTGATGCAGTCTAGTGAATGAAATTTCCTGAATCAGCTCCTCAAATAACCCCAAGAACAGGTCTAAAAAGCAAGACACTTAGAAAAAAAAAAAAAATTTTTTTTTTTGTTGGGCTGTGTTATTTATCACAATGACACTAAGTACCCTGCAAAATGTGCATATTAGACCATCAATCTGAATCAGATTCTTCCTTCCCTAAAGCAAGCCATAGAATATGCAATTTTCTTTCCTTCAACCACAGGTTCCCTCCTGATGCGCAATGGGAGGTTTCCACAGCATCAGAATACAATGATCACTGCTGGCGGCTATAGCTGCCAGCAGTGATCACTGTATTCTGAAGCTGTGGAAACCTTACAATCGCAATTCAGCCAATCCTGCTAAACAGCTGTGAGGCAAGCCACTGAATTCACATACATAGGATATCATTACATGCTGGATTTTGGTGCAGTAGTTCTGAGCACAGGGCTTTTGGGACAAAAAATAAGTAAAATAAGCTGCTATTTCATAAGATCCCCTCAGCAATCTCTACTGTAAAACAAACCTTACATTTTTATTCCTTATTACACAAACCTTAAAAAAAAAAATTAGCTGTGAACTGTTAAACTGCCCAATAACACTTAACCTCTAAAATCAACCCCTAACACATAACCCCCTAGAGCTAAACCTACACCCTAACACTTTACCTCAATCAATCCAAACCCTACCCTTTCAGTCACATGCTGGCAACACACTAGGTCATTTTATTGCTTTCATTTAATACTGTGATAAGCTTCAACCCTTCTGGCAGTATATTAATCCAGTGCAGGAGTCATTAGCAATGAAACAGAACTAAAAACCACTGAACTGTGAGACATAAAATGGGTTGATTTACTAAAGCTGTGGAGAGTCCAAAATCTGGTGAAGCTCTGAATAGAACCTAATTAGCTTACAGGTTTTACTGTCAAAGCTTAACTGAACAAGCTGAAGTTAGAAGCGATTTGCTACCATGCACAGCTGCACCAGATTTTGCACCCTCCAGTTTTAGTAGATCAACCCCAGTGAGCATCTGTAGACAGATTTATACAGTACACACCTACAAATAAGAGGTGGCATGAGAGATAGATAGATAGATAGATAGATAGAGTTTTCCCCTTTACTGCATGTGCTATACTGTCATCTATGTACTATCCTATTTATATATCTATTTTTACTGTCTGCTACCTATAAATAAAAAGGTTTTAATTTTTTCTCTACTGCAATACCTTATTAAGATATGGCATTTGTTTTAAGGCACTTACCATTAATTTGGCTTTCTCTGGTAATGTAATCTGTTCTCTTTTCCCATCAGGGTACCGTAACATTAACTTTGCTTTGGGTCCTAATGAGAAAGAAATTAAGCAAAGTTGAAATATGAGCGGTACACAGAACGCCACTTTTACATACAAGCACAGTATTTATGGTGGTTTCCTTTCATCCAGGAAGTGCAAATTGTGGCCTAATAGCAGTCACAGATGTCTTCTGAACAAAAACATGACAAAAGATAAGCAAGTAGCTGAAATCTAATTCTATAACATAATGCAGACCAGGCTTGGCAACATTGAAGTGGCCAACGTGTAAACATTTGATGCACATTCATAATCCAATCAGCGAGTGCAGAAAGCACAATTTCTTGAGCGCATTACATGGCAGTCCACGAAAACTGCATACCAACATATGTACGTGTCCTGGTATAAAATCAAATTTGAGAACAAGAGGCGTATAGTACTCACCGTTATTATCAGCACAATCTTCTGTATGATCTGGATTGCTGCTATGTTCTTCTAAACAAGGTTCAGCCTGAGATTTGGGAGATTCTTCTAGGTGTACATGCTGGCTTGGAAAGTCTGGTTCCACTGCCGTGTCTTCCACAGGCTCTGACTGCTGCTCTCTTTTGTGATTGGCATTTTTAGATGTGGCCTTCTTGGCTTTACTACTGCAAGTCTCTGGCTCTGGCAATGTTTCCACAGGAGTCCCATCTTCGTCCTCATGGTCAGATCCACATACAGAGATGAACTCTTCACTGCCAGAATACAGCTCAGGATCTGACTCCTCCTCGTACTGAGAAGTTTGCTTCGTTGATGTAGAGTCAAAGTGGGTTTCCTGTAGGGATGCACGTATCGCCGCTTCTAATTGGCTGTCTTCACTGGCATCTATGAGGCTCTCCTAAAAAGGGTCAAAACATATCAGACAAATTCTACATAAAATAAAATCTTTATAATAGCAAGACAATAGTGTGATGTTGGAATGATTTATTAGCTTTACCTAGCCCAGACACATTTGTTGCCCCTCACCCAGTTACTGTGGTCACATGTTTGTTAGTAGATGTACAAATGCTGCCCCAGCAAAATGGCTCCATTCTCTCATATGACCATTATTTAGGTCCAATGAAGTCAGACACCTGCTTTTATACAGGGGTTTTCTGTGTGAAATTCTGTGATGTTCTGAGAAACTGCCGCTTTACATAAGCCGTAGTAAATACCTTTCTTCAGAAGTTGAAATCAGGACAAACAGAAAATTCAAGCACAATTTCAATACATCATTGGTAGGCCATTATTCTATCTTGAGTGAAAGGAAACGGTGCAATCCTGGCACGAATGCAGACCCTTCTACTGGGATACTGGTCGGAATTCCCATGTTGAATCCATAAAATGATGCAAGATACAAATACTCCATTATCTGACCTCTATTGGATTATCCATAGGAGTAAATAAAGAATTTAGGCACTTCCCGACTGATATACGCATATATACATCATTGGGAAGAGGTGGCAATATCAGATTCATGGCTGTTTCAGCAGCAGCCATGATCCTGATATTCTTTTCAGCTGGCAATGAAGTTTCTTTTAAAAGTGATCGAGTGGCTAGTCAGCCGCCAGATCATTTTTACAAGCAGCTAAAGGGTGCCCCACACCTACTTTGCCATGCAGCGGTATCTCTGGGCTCTTCTATCCCTCTGGGAAGCCCAGGGCCACTGTGGGCAGTCACGCCAGCTGACCATAGAGGCGTTGGAGAAACTTTCGTGTCACGTACACGTGTACGTGACACAATGCGTAGATGCGACGTGGTGACGCACTTCCGGCGGAGCTCCATTTTGGTACACCAAGTTCATATACAATACACCCATACTGTGTGGTGTGACAGCCTGATTTCACCTAACAAATGTGAGTGTTTTACTGGCGTTTTTTTATATGGTATATCAAATAAACAGTGTTGCACTATGGAGATGTATTCTTTGTCCTTTCATGGCCTTAATGGGGTACATATCTATTGGCTGCACTACGGTTTACCTGTTTGTGGAAGAGGGATCCACGCTGTAAGCAAGCTACCAGTGAGGGTCTGTGGAACCAGAGGAGCCTGTGTGGTCTGGAGAGATTTTCTACATAGGATCCAGGGTGATCCATAAGGCGTGTTGACCCTTTTGGGTCACATTCAGGAGGTGAGGGGGCATGCCTGCCATCTAAGGATATCTATTTATCATTTGCACTGGCACTGAAGCACCTGTGTTAGATTGAAGCACTTTTTTGCAGATTTTGCACTTTGATCGGACACTTTATTTGTTTTGCAGTTTTTTTTTGAGATATTTATGACTATTTATGAGTTTTGCATTTTACACGTCATTTTATTGAATTTATCCCACATTGTTTGGGACATTATTTCCCAATTGGGATTGTTTTTTGTCACTTTATGAAGGCCCTTGTTTGGGACCTGTGAATCATATGCACTTTGTATCACTTTATCATCGCTACTGCAGACACTGATTTATAGACCTCTTTGAGGATCTTTCACTTATATATGTATATTGAGTATTTATATTAGAAGTTTTATATTTTGTGATATTTGTACATTTAGTCATATAGCGCTACACCATTCTTTTATTCATTTACAATTGTCCATATATAAGGTATTGGATAGGGTGTTAGCTGCTTACTGTATAGATATATTTAGATTCCTATTAGCACAGGGGGATTGTATCATTTCTAAATGCAAATAAGCACGTAGGTCCCGCACGCATATGTAAACGGTGATTGCGCCACACATGTGAAGTATCACCACAAATGTCAGAATGAGATCATTTTAGCACCAGACCCCCTGTTTAATGCTAAAGTGTTAACCTGTAAAGGCTTTTAAAGTGTCACCTATGGATAATTTAATGTAATGTAGTTTGTCTTTAAAGCATGGCACAAAATCGTCTTTTACATTTTACCAAAAACATTGGGTATAATATTGTGTTTGTGTGCAGTAGGAATTGATAAAAATGTGTCTTTTGCTAAAAACTTGCGATGTAAAAATGGCTGATCAATTATTGTGGGATGTAACTGCAAGCACTCCATTTTATTCTTCAGGGCCTCTGTTTAAAAACCTATAATGTTTAGGGGTTCTGAGTAATTTTCTAGCAATAAAATGCTGATTTTTCCATGTATATAAGAAATGTCAGAATTAGCCCAGAAGATGCTAGAAGAAAGGGGGAGGTGCCAGCTAAGTGCAGCATTAGTAAAAGTATTTATTAATACAAGATTAAAAACACTCACAAGACATGTGAATATTGCTCTTCATTATTATATTACATTATAAATACTGGCTGTATAATAATTATTGGGTCACCGCTCATTCCAAAGTCCTGCAGTGTCCGAAGCTGCAATCCAGCTAGGAGATGGAAGAGAAGGGGCCCAAAGATGCCCTGTGTACCTCAGGAAGTGCATCGGAACCAGCATGGAACGCACGGGTGGAACGTGACGTCACAGGAGGAGGAGAGGATTGGAACAGGTGACAGGCTACACGCTCGGAGCTTCAACTCCTTCTACAGGCCTCCCCCTTTTCTTCTTGCATCTTCTTTACACAGAGTTGGCCAAACTCTGCCGATGGCTGCCACCGGTGCCGATTAGAATTTTATGGACTTTGTATATTTTATCTGAAGGACTTTTTACCGTTTTATCAGTATTTAGACTGGCTAGAACTTTTTTTTTTTCTTTTTTTGGATCAAGTAAGCCAAGGTTATAAGACTTCTCAGTATTTTTGTGCCGTTTACGATCCCCTGGGGTGGAGGGTCCCTTACTTCATGTAAAGTTAGATAAAATTCCTCCAAACTAAAGTAAATCCCTGGTTGTCACCTGTGCTCCTGCTAACTCAAACTTTGGGATTTTCTTTCACTTTCAGTGATAACAGTCACCAGGACAAATAGAGAGGGTGAATCTTGATAACAGGAGCACGGAGAGCAATAAAAACCTGACAGGTGTTCTAATCCCTTTACAATCTATCCAAAACTATAAAAGGAAAAAAGTTTTGCCTTTTTTTAGGCTGCATTCATACCTGAGCGATTTTCTGCTTGAAGCTCTATAACACTCAGGAAGCCAAATCCTAATAATTTCATTGGCCCCTGTTCACATGAGTGTTCTGTCGCCTGAAGCAAAACGCCTGTCACTCAAAAAATGTACGAGCTTCTTTTTGGAAGATTACAAGCCTTTTTGACCCCATAGACTTCAATAAAAATGCATGAAAATGTGTGGCTTGAACGTTCTACGAGAGTTTTGTTGCACGTTTTCTGCTCAAACAGCAGCTCTCCACCCCTAATCCATCCCTAATTTCCTCCCCCTAGTGCGTTCTATTGGCTAAACAAAAACACCTGAAGCTGTAAAAATGCGAATAATACAATAATAAAACCCTTGTAATAGACTTCTAAAACTGCTCAAAAACTCTCAAATAAAAACGCTGGTAAATCTCTACGCTCAGGTGTGAAAGCAGCCTTATAGTTTATTAAACAACTTCTGACAGCCTTTGTTTCAAGACATACAGCAGAAACAGAATTTACCTACAAATTGTACAAGAAAATAATATTAAATGAAAAGTACAATGTCTTCCTACTCACAGAACGTGGTCGCTTCTTAGGTGGACTGCTGGAGAGACCATCAAGCTGGCCATGTTCCCCTAAGAATCCAGTAACTTGCTCCAAGAAGGAACTCACATCTAATTTGTGCCACTCAACCATCTTCTGACCTATTTACGGTAAAATGGCAGTCAGTAAGTTCATGGAGGAACCAGAGAGCAAAACCGGCTCTCTAATCACACTCACCTGTGCGAGGGTCCAGAATGGAAACATATGGGAACTCAGATAACTTGTAGAACTGAATGTACCTCTGTCCTTCTTCACTGTCATGATATACCTATGCAATCAAAGCATGGGACATTATCACTAAACACCAAAAAATATAAAACAAAATGTACGAAGCAGGAGTTAAGTATTATGACACAGAGTGTTTGTTATAAAGTGTGATCACCAATGGTTATGGTACAACAGCTAGTAAAACTGAAAAAACAAGGAATGCATTAAGGTAAAAAAAATGTTTACCGTTTAGAACCACTTTAATATGCAAAGTACACAAAGTGCACAATTCACAAAGCTAAAGTCGGCCATACACTAGTAGATTTTTGGATGAATGTTCTTGCAAACATTTGTACAAAAAGTTTCATCAGTACATTCAATGAACTTACGAATGTATTTACAAAGTACTTCAAAAACGCTTCCTTTTAACATTCGATTTTGAATGTGAGTGAGAGTGAATGGACACTTTCACTGTTCGAAATTTGTTCGTTCAATTAAAATTTTTCACCCTGCTCCTTTGCATTTTCTCATCACTGGGGTCAAAAACAAAAACATAAATTTGACCCCACTAACAATCAGAATATAAAAGGAACATCCTTAAAACAAACATTCGAATGAGTAGCTTAACACTAGTGATGCACTGATATAATAACTGCAGAAAATAGGGTTATCAGTGGTTTGCTGATACAGAACAAAAAAAAAAAAAAAAAGTGCCAATAGTAATATCTGACTTCAATGCAAGATTGCGGCCCATTAGCTTCAATGCAAACCCCCCCCCCCCCCCCAAATGACTTCAATGCAAACTCCCCTGTACTATGTCTGCAGACTCTGGACATCATCTCCTGTACTATGTCCGCAGTCTCTGGACATCATCTCCTGTACTATGTCCGCAGTCTCTGGTCATCATCTCCTGTACTATGTCCGCAGTCTCTGGTCATCATCTCCTGTACTATGTCCGCAGTCTCTGGTCATCATCTCCCGTACTATGTCCGCAGTCTCTGGTCATCATCTCCTGTACTATGTCCGCAGTCTCTGGTCATCATCTCCTGTACTATGTCCGCAGTCTCTGGTCATCATCTCCTGTACTATGTCCGCAGTCTCTGGTCATCATCTCCAGTACTATGTCCGCAGTCTCTGGTCATCATCTCCTGTACTATGTCCGCAGTCTCTGGTCATCATCTCCTGTACTATGTCCGCAGTCTCTGGTCATCATCTCCTGTACTATGTCCGCAGTCTCTGGTCATCATCTCCTGTACTATGTCCGCAGTCTCTGGTCATCAGTCTCCTGAGTCTCTGGTCCTGTACAGTCCCGCAGTCTCTGGTCATCATCTCTCCTGTACTATGTCCGCAGTCTCTGGTCATCATCTCCTGTACTATGTCCGCAGTCTCTGGTCATCATCTCCTGTACTATGTCCGCAGTCTCTGGTCATCATCTCCTGTACTATGTCCGCAGTCTCTGGTCATCATCTCCTGTACTATGTCCGCAGTCTCTGGTCATCATCTCCTGTACTATGTCCGCAGTCTCTGGTCATCATCTCCTGTACTATGTCCGCAGTCTCTGGTCATCATCTCCTGTACTATGTCCGCAGTCTCTGGTCATCATCTCCTGTACTATGTCCGCAGTCTCTGGTCATCATCTCCTGTACTATGTCCGCAGTCTCTGGTCATCATCTCCTGTACTATGTCCGCAGTCTCTGGTCATCATCTCCTGTACTATGTCCGCAGTCTCTGGTCATCATCTCCTGTACTATGTCCGCAGTCTCTGGTCATCATCTCCTGTACTATGTCCGCAGTCTCTGGTCATCATCTCCTGTACTATGTCCGCAGTCTCTGGTCATCATCTCCTGTACTATGTCCGCAGTCTCTGGTCATCATCTCCTGTACTATGTCCGCAGTCTCTGGTCATCTGCTGTAGTGTACTATGTCCGCAGTCTCTGGTCATGTCCTGTAGTACGTCCGCAGTCTCTGGTCATCTCCTGTAGTACGTCCGCAGTCTCTGGTCATCTCCTGTACTATGTCCGCAGTCTCTGGTCATCTCCTGTACTATGTCCGCAGTCTCTGGTCATCTCCTGTACTATGTCCGCAGTCTCTAGTCATCTCCAGTAATGCATCCGCAGTCTCTGGTAATTTCCTGTACTTATGTCTGCAGTACATTTATTAATGTTTTCCTCCTCTAAAAACTAGGTACGTCTTATGGTCCGGGTGCACCTTATGAGCAGCACAAAATACGGTATATTGATATATATTTGAATATTTTGTGTATAAGTTTTTGATTAATTTTGTATTTTTTTTTAATATAATTCTAGACTGTATTGCGGACATCTTTTTTTTCCTCTGAAGAAGCCCAAGTCGGGCAAAATATGTTGGGAAGTATCATCTGTACACCGCAATAAGCAGTCAAGTGTCTTGTGATTGTGAAGTTTGGTGTAATTTTTTTTACTTTAAATGGAATTTTAATGATATCAATAAATTTTTTAAATTTTAGAAAAATATTTTCTAGTTATTGCTGTGCACCTATGAAATCACATAACCTTGCTTTAATTACACATATTTGTAAAAGGATGTGGTGCAATATTGTGTTCATCAACCACTCGCCATATCCCAAATACTCTGTCAAAAAAAAATATAAAAAGGGTTAACAAGCATTTGTCTAGTCTCTTAGTGGACAAAAAAAAAGTCATTTTTATGAATCTGGGAACCCTGGATACCGCTACACCACCCAAGGATGGATAGGGCTAGCCTTCGAGGGTTGGGACAGGTGACCTTCCCCAGTAATCGTCCTGGAGCTTGAACAATTTTCATAACCATTTATATGTGTGTGAAGCAGAACCTATTTTATTCCTTATCTCTCCTTTTCCTTCCTGTCCAATAGCCACTTCATTCTTTACCCTTTTCTTGCTGGCCATCCCATATACTGTGCTACACATGCTGGTCATGTTCTCCTAGATGTGAAGTTCTGTATAATCAGCAAGAAGTTCCCAAATGTATGTCTTACGTATAAGTTACCTAACTTGAACACTTAGGAAATGTGATGATATCATATGCAAACCTCAAAAATTGACTTTTATTCTCTGTTGACTGCAGCCTGTTTTATGCTGGTCTGAAAGCTATGCTTTTGGCATTGGTCTATAAAATGCTGATTGAGAATGCACTGAAATTTATAATAATATGGTATTGTACTTTCATTTGAAACTCAAAAACATTGAAACAGAAACAACATATATATAAAACATAATCGTGGAAGATAATCTACCTGCCAGAAGATGAAATGTTCACGTATTATAGACTTTACAGAGTCATTACTCCATATATCCCGATTCAGGCACTGGCAGGCAAAGTCCTGCACATTCTGTATGTTAATCATGAGCCATTTGTTCTTTAGCTGTCCACATTCCTTAGCCTGTAGGTTATAAACAAAAAATATAGCAACTATACATTAAATATATGATATATTAACCTAACCTATACATGCACTCTCTGCATTAAGGTAAAAAAAAAAAAAAAAAAGTAGGTCCATATCCAGCTCCCCCTCCTTAAACACTTATCTGAATCCATTCTCGATTCAGTATTATCCCATCTGCAACATCTCTTCTCCCCTCTCGCCTCTCTCATAGGCTTGGTTGAGAGCAGTGGGAGCCACTGGTTCTTGCTACTGTCAATCAAATCTTGTGAGGAGGGAGTGTGGGGGGTGGGGCAGGACTGAGCTGTGCTGTGTGTGTCTATGGACGCACTGCTTGGGAGTGCACCTGCACTACTGCCCTCGTAGCAAGTAACATGCTATGGAGGCACTTAGAGAAGGTAGGAGTGGAGAGTGCCAGAAAGTGACCCCAGAAGACAAAGTTCAGGGCTGCTTGGGCAAAACTATTGCACAGTACAGGCAAGTAGAACATCTAATTTATTTTAGAAAAAAAAAAAAAAAAGACATGGCTTACAACTGCTTAACCTATAACTGAATCAGAAAGTGTGAAATACTTTAAACAAGCAGCTCATATTAAATAGGTGCTAGCAAGAAAGTGACTGGAAAGAAGTGGGATGAGGGAGCAGGTGCCTCAGACCAAAGGGGGAACAGTATTACAACTTCACGCATCTAGTGACTGTCAAAATCCATTGGTAGAAGTGGTAAACCCAGTAACATTAGGTTATAATTAAATATATATATATATATATATATATATATATATATATATATATATATATATATAGTAAATAAAATCATTTATTGTAAGAAAAATATCAGCAAAAAAGACATGCTTGACCTGGAAAAAAAAGCAAACACAAACATATTTGTATTACTTTAGATGCACCTCTTCACTCAACTTGTGGAAACATGTGACCCTTCAGCCCTTTTAAGTTGGACACAACTGATCCAGAGTAAGCCATCAGAGTAATAATGAATCATACCTCAACATGATCAAGCAAAGACAATGGTATTCACTAATGCTAAGCTCTGAAAACAGGAAAATGATTAGAATGTATGGGACAGTGGAGGATGAGCCAAGGTACTAAGAAAAGGGCTTGGAAAACTTCAGCGCATGTATTACTCAGCTATAATATCAACTTCAGATTATAGGACAGCAGGGATGGGGTGTGTGTTAAAGGATTAGATGCAGCATAGTGTTTTGGTCCCCTTCACGAACAGATATTTGGACATAAGCTCAACTCACAATTTTCAGAGTTTACAGTTGACTGTGACTTCCAGAAAAGAGTTCCGCCACTTGAGTTAATGGGTCACCTCTGGATTTCCTCTTCTAGATTTATTATTTCTCCTTTTAAGGTGTTCTGAAATTAGAAAATAACATGTGTAATAGCAAAACTGCCTATGCTATTATCATGTTTTTATTCTAATTCAGCACTCCTTAAAAGGAAGTACAAAGCCTCCCTACCAGTTTTAGATCTCATTTTTACAGAAATCGTACTTGGGCTCTGCCTATCTGGCTCATCACTCACTATGTCAACAAACAATTCTAGGAACACCACTGTGACCCTGTCCCCTGCAATAACTAACCAGTAGTCTAGACTTTAAGCAACATATGATTAAAGGAGAACTCTTGGTAAATCACAATCAATGCAAGTGAATGATCATGATACGGTGTGAAAAAAAAAAAGTTGGATAGTGTTGATCTGAAGCGGAGTATGAGGTTATTTCTCATACTTGGAGAACACCACCAAAATCTTTTTAGAGGCCTAGTAATATTATAACCAATCTGTGATAGATCAGATTCAATGACTTATGCATTCTAGCAGAGTATAGCTTTTAATGGGACCTACTGGGGTCTCCTGACTGTCACAGAAGCAGGTCCTTTATAATTATTGAACTCCTCCTGTGTGCACCAGGGGAGCCCCTAACTTGGACACAAGCTAAACTTAGACCTCAGGGTGCTGCAGAACTCCAAGTTGAAGCTGAGGTCAATTTAGAAGTTCAGCTTGTGTGCAAGACCAGGGGATCGCTAGGTGCACAGAAGAAGAATTCATTAGTGAAAAAGGCACTTGGGGATACTTTGTGGAATCTGCCCATAAGCTGTAATGTCAATTACGTGATAATATAATTTACTTTAAAGTATGTATTACTTTTGTGGCAAATTTAAAATGGAAGGATAGAATTGACTTACTGATGGGATATGAACTAGTTCCACAGCAAAGACAAAACTTGCAATGACAATGAACAGGTTCAGTTCTACTGACTTCACATGAAGCCCACATCAGAGAATAGCAGCTTACATGGGAGGTGTTTTTTTTTTTTTATTATTTATTTAAAGATCTATTCTGCCCCTTTTTAAAAACTGTGCTGAGGAAAAAAACATGCTTCTTATAGAATGATTATTTTGCAGGCTTATACAGTTGCCCTGAGGCCAGTTAAACTGGTGTTTCCCCAAAAATATCTAAACGGAAGAAGTAATTTAACTACAAGGCAAACTAAAACACAGTGACCAATTCACCATCTAAAATATCACAGGTGTTTGCAAAATATTAGAAGCCTTAAAGAGGCCATATTAATGAGCCAAAGTTTGCACAGGACTATCATAGTAATGGATCAGGCTGCTGGGACCATTGACAGTGTTGGAGTACTATCAATCTGCAGATCAACTTTTCTGCGATGTAATGTGTTTTCTGTGTAATACATTCATTTTATATAGATTTTTTTTTTACCGACATCTAAAATGTAATGCTCAGATTAGTGAGTTTCCAGAGTATGAAAATAAAAAAAAAAAAAAAAAGTACGTACAATGTGTGTATTTGACAAGTATTTATCTTTACTCCCATTAACGCTCAGAATTCAGAATGCCTGTAAAGGACAGCATGGTATAAGATCTTATAGCAGGGATCACACCTGTGCAGTATGCAAATGCACACACCTTAGGGATAAGTTCACCTTTTGGACAAAAATAATAAATGTACATTTTTTTTGCAGGGGAAAAAAAAAAAAAAAAAAAAAAGGGAGAAATAATTATTATTGTCCAAAGGAGCCTGTAAAGCATTGCACCAGCGATCAGTAGATAGCTAATGCCATGCATGTCTCCTGCAGACCTGTCAGAATATCTGCTTGCTGTACGGGATGTACGAACAAGCAGCTATACTGACAGGAAACTTAAATGAACTACCACGGCGCTCCACAGCACTGTGGTAGTTCATTGAAAACTACAAGCCCACAGCTGCTAGGGCTATCTGGACTTGTAGGCACTCATTCACAGAACACTATGAATGAGTGACACTGCCATGTGGGAGGAGCTCCGCACGGCCATGCTGTTTTCCCCGTACTGTCAGAGGGAGGTGGCAGCGGGCAAGGCTGAGGTTATGCGAACATGTTACATGTTTCAGCCTAAAAATGGGTGGCACATGTAACATGTTCCAAAGGTGAACTTATCCTTCAAAGTGTGTTATATTGAATTGTAACATGCGCTGATTAAAGACAGCCAATTCATTATGAATAGGGTGCCGACACAAGCCCAACATAGTCAAAACTGCTCGTGACCATTTTTCCCCAATGTAACCCATTACAGGTACAGTGCATAGTGTGGGAACGCAATGCAAAAGTGTGATCCTAGCTTCAAACAAACCATTTAGTAAGAACAGGTCAATTTGAAAAAACATAGCTTCTATTGTCTGTGCACTTCGCCCTCTATGTAAAAACACAAAAAAATGCCAGTGTGAATGAATGCTTTCAGTCAACTCCTCCAAAAATGTGCCAGTTACTTTGCCTGGTCACTAGCTTATTTAGCCAAAAGAAATAGGTATCATAAAATGGAGTATGAGTGGTTGCTGAGGGCATTTTATAAAAGCTCATTTAAGATACATCTATTTACCAGTTTCAGAAGGTATTCAAATATTTAAAGTTTTTTCTGCTAGCCAGTACCACCTCACAGCCTCCTTCACTGCAAAAAAGTACAGACAGGGTTCCACATAACTTGCTATCATCACCTGCCTGAAAATGGAAAGCTTATTAGAGATGACCTTCTAGTAATATTTCAAACACAGCAACAGCAGCCAGAGATAGCAGTAAACTCCAGCTTTGTGGTGCAATCCAAAAGCCACATCTGAACCACCCCATAGAGAGAGACACATTTGGAGAATTTCAAAGGACAACCAGATCCTCCCATAATACAAACCATGGACATACCGTCTCAAAACTGCCTTTATGCATAAGATCTATAGGCGGTCGGAAAAGGTCAGCCAATGTAGTTAACTTTTTATCCACCACTCCTCCATTCCGCAGCTCCTGCTCCTGCCGAACTGCAATGCCCCAATGTAAAACAGACACATTAATATGATCAGAGAATATAAAAGCTGTCACACCTACAGTGAGTGCAATCAATGCCACTGTAAAAATAGTGCAATAATGTGTAAATGCATAGTAAGAATAAAGCAAACAACCTACTTAAAGCCATTAGAAACGTATCAAAACTAAACCATTTTGGGAATATATTTCAACATTTTTTAATGGCTATTCGAATATAGCTAGAAATGTTCAAAAGGATTGACAAGGCAGTGAATTTATTACCAAAATCAAACAACTACACAATTACAATCTTTACAGAAAGTCTGTAGGGGTGACCTAACACTGGACCTCACCCTCAGTCCCAGCTGTACTTACCTCCTGCAGTCCATGTGACGGAGCTCACCAATTAGAAGCCATCTGGTCCTTCCAGGCAGCGGTGGACGGAGAGGAGTGAAAGCAGCAGGGATTTAAATCTCTGGACCATTAGTGCGGTTTGCAGGAGCCCTGACAGTTCAGGATGCAGGAGGTAAGTACATCAAGGACTGGGAGGGGGGGGGGGGGGTTCTGGTGTTATGTAACTTTACAGATTTTTTGAGTAGGTGAACTAACCCTTTAAAAACATTAAGAGTAAGAACTAGTTTATCTGACTGGCTTTGATGATGGATCAAATCATTTCAACCTACAGTGCTGATTGTAAGGAGTAAATGTCCTAGAAGTCTGTCAAATAGAACCTTTTCCTCTATTTGCAAAGGAAGCTGGAAAATGTAAGTCTTTATGTTCAAAACACTTATATATATAATATATACTAGTCACCTGTAAAACCATGCAAATATTCCTGTATGTGTAGCTGTTGCTCTCATTCAGAAGGATATCACTGAATTTCAGGTAACTCTAAGAAAGGACTCCACTTGCATAAATAACCAGCTATAGTAGCAGACGGAGCAAGTCCCTGCTGCTAAACGTCTTCTGCAAGTTGTGTGTGTGGCTGACTTAATGGTTTACAGAACTGAATGCATGGAGTCAGGGATCGATATCCCAGCAAGTGTCTGCTGTCCATCACAGGTCCCTTACTGACATATAAGGCAGCCATATGCCTACAGCCAATAAGAGATTGTGGAAAGATCAATATAATATTTTAATGACTTAATTATTAATAATGTATTCTATTATATATTGTAGATTCCAGTAAAATAAACAGAACATGAATACAAGCACTGATTAAAGTTAATATTTCTTGTAACATTTATAATTCCAGATGACAGGAAGTCAGCTGTAAAGAAAAATTCATTTCACTCAAAACCTAACTTTTATCAGCAAAATGCAATTTAACATTTTTTTTCTTTAATGAAAAAATGAATCCTTCTAACTCAAAGAGCTCTACGTTACACCCCAGCGCCTAAAAAGATAGCACACAAATATCTGTGATAATCATAAGCAGTTACTTACTGGTCTCAGTCTGGAAATCCCGGAAGCCGTCAAATATTGAACGTGCTGGTCTTCGCCTTTTAGGAGCTGATTTAAAGCAAAAATGAAATTATAAAGGCTTGGTGTCCTGTTCAGATGTTGATAATCAAGAAGAAAATACATTTATTGCAAAGCATTGATTTTATCCCCTTAAAAGGGTGCCTCAGGGTCAGAGCAGAGTACCAGTAAGTAACATCAGAACTTTTTATAGCATAATGGCTGAAACTGTTGCTGTGAAAATGCAGAACAAAAAGCATTACCTTAAAAATACCTTTGCGAGTTAAACAGGCAATGTGAATTAAAATATCTGTAGGGATAACTACAATACTATTTGCAGTTCTCAGATTGTTTGACAATTTTTAGATGCAGCTTTTCACAGATTGATGAACCTTTGCCCATCGTTACTTCTGAGACACTCTGGGGTTGATTCACCAAATCTGGAGAGGGCAAAATCTGGTACTTCTCTGCATAGAAACCAATCAGCTTCCAGGTTTTTTGTCAAAGCTTAATTGAACACATCCTGTAGTTGGCAAATTTACATACGTAGCTCTTTCTCACTTGATACCGATTTGCTATCTGCTTTACGGATTACCACCTTTTGTGGAGTAACCTATTATGTTTCTTAGATTACTTGTCATTCCTATTTCTGACCTTATTATTATTATACAGGATTTACATAGTGTCAACAGTTTGCTCAGCGCTTTACAATATAACGGAAGACAATACAGCAACAATACAGTTCAATACAAGAGGGAAAGGAGGGCCCAGCTCCTTGGAGCTTACAATCTAAGAGGAAGGAGCTGGTGGTACAAAAAGGTAATAACTGTGGGAGATGGATTGGTAGAAGGAATAGAAGATTCCATTATTAGCTGAAGGCAGGATAGGCTTCCCTGAAGAGATAGGTTTTCAGAGATCACCTAAAAGTGAGCAGAATAGGCGATAGTCTGATAAATTGTGGTAGAGAGTTCCAGAGGATGGGGGAGAAGAAGCTCTGGAGAAGTCCTGGAGACAAGCATGGGGGGGGGGGGAGACAAGAGAGCTAGAGAGCAGGAGATCGTGCAAAGAGCAGAGAGTACAGTTTGAGTGATATTTGGAGACAAGATTGGTGATGTAATTTGCAGAGTTATACCTCTAAACTCTTAGAATGCTTAGTCTACCATCGCCTGAGCTCCTACCTTACTGACAACAACCTTCTTGACCCTTTACAGTCTGGCTTTTGCTCACTACACTCTACTGAAACTGCCCTACTAAAACTCACTAATGATTAAATGATAAAACCAATGGCCAATACCCCATACTCTTACTACTTGACCTCTCTGCAGCTTTTGATACTGTTGACCATCCCCTCCTCCTCATAAAATTCCACTCTCTTGGCCGCCGAGACTCTGCTCTCTCCTGGTTCTCCTCCTACCTATCGCAGCGCTCCTTCAGCGTTACCTATAACTCTGTCTCCTCCTCTCCACTTCCTCTTTCTGTAGGGGTCCCTCAAAATTCTGTCCTTGGACCCCTTCTCTTCTCCAACTACACCTCCTGTGTGTCAGTTATTAACTTTTGTACCACTAGCCCCTCCCTCTTAGATTGTAAGCTCCAAGGAGCAGGGTCCTCCTAACCCTCTTGTATTGAACTGTATTGTTGCTGTATTGTCTCCCGTTATATTGTAAAGTGCTGAGCAAACTGTTGGTGCTATATACACAGTACGGGGATAGAGATTAAATTGGTGATGAGCTTGTGATTAGAGAGAGGAAAGGGGGTGTTGTGAGGTTGCACAGCTGACCTGCTGTAATATAACATATGTTAAGCCTCACTGGCGCAGTATCTTTTTTTTTTTTTTTACTGTATATTTTGCCGCTGAAAATAAACTTTTTTGAGACATGTTGCTGCCATCAATTTTAAAATGTCCTTATTTTTTTCTTTAAACATTTGATAAGCTTTCTATTGTGAATAAAATATGGGTTTATGAGATTTGCAAACCAATACACTATATTAATGCATATTTTGCATAGAATCAAAATTTTTTTGGAATTGGGGTTTTTTACATTTCAGCCAAGAACTAGGAGCATGCACCTATGGGCGGTACTATTTCCAAGACCCCACTGTCAATGACTGCCACATGACATACACGACTCAATCAGGAGCCAGTCAATGTGCTTCCTGACCATTATGACAGCCATGACAGCCAACCATGGTAAGTGTATGATGTTTCTTTACCAGTATTCACAAAGTGTCTTTTATTCTTTTTACAGAATACAAGGTGATTTCTAAATGGAAGAAGGGAGAGGAAAAGGAAAGTGAATGACAGGATCCTTCACTATGGCAGCTCTTTATCCCCATGGCACTAAAAGACTAGCTCTGTCTGTACATTCTGTCTGTGAAACTATGAGTTTAAAAGCACACAGCAAGGATCCAGGACCAAGATTGTCATAATTAGCAGTAACATTTTATACAGAGCACAACACAAAAATATTTTTTCATGGAATTCAGCTTTATTATGGAAGTAGTACTTCTGGCCAAACCTTTGATACAAGAAGGCTCAATTTACAGAGCTTTAAACACAAGGATAAGGCTCTCCAATTTAGCAATGTGACTGTAATTTTCAAATCTCACTGGGCTCAGCTGAAAACAATGGTCAGTTTATGAAAATAAGTATCCTTCTCTTCATATACTAGGTTTGTGAATTCAGCATACTGTATTAAGTACAGAGCTTTATGTCAGTTGCAGATTTTAAGAGTGAATATATTCATCTGCTCAGAAGCAGCATGCAAGGCTCTGACATAAACAACCATCTTTTGCAAACATGACAATACTTGTCCTACTGATCCAGTCCTTTTACACCATGTAAACAGATTAGTGCCTGCACCCTAGAGACATTTTACCAGGTTACACTTCACAACATGCAAGACTCTTACCGCCAAATATTTCGGGCTCCACAAGGATTTCTTGTTTCTGTGGAATTGGTGCACGCACATCATCTCTAATGGAATGAGAAAAACGCAATTAATGTATAATGGTATTTTAAATGTAATTACTTTTACACATGATGTACAGATTCAGGCTAACGCATGACAATGCTACAACCGACAGATCCATTCTTCAACTTAGTATCATTATTGGTGAAATGAAAACATTCAGTCCATCCCAGAATAGGATATATTACGTTTAAGCTGGACATTAGTCAAGGCTACAGTGTTAACCGATAGGCTTAGTTCACATTGGTTTTGTAAGCAGGCATTTGCGGGGCGTTTTTAACGCTCCTCATATGCCCATGGTAATGATACTGTGGGCAGCACACAGTGCTGTTCACATTAGAAAAACATGAAGCCTTAGCATTGCATCAAAATTGATGCCTCATGTTGAGTCAGGAGGAGATGAAATCCTTCAACGCCTCCCATTCAAGACTATGGTGACGCTCCTCAAACACCTGGCAGGCGTTTGCGGAGCGTTAATACCATTAGGTTTATTATAGGCGTTTTTAGTGCGGTTTAACACTTGTAAATGCCTATAAAATGCCTCAAAACCTCGCATAGGGCGTTTGGGGAGCGGTTTTACGCTTGCAGAATGCCCATACTTTAAAGCTCATTAATGCCTGTCTCACGCTATAGGGGAATTTTGGAAGCAACAGAAATTAGTCAAGTGTGAACAAGCCCTTAAAGGATGGTTTAATCACTTGGCCTCCAGAGGATTTACCCCCCTTCCTGACCAGGCCATTTTTTTGCGATACAGCGCTGCATTACTTTAGCTGACAATTGCGTAGTTATGCAACGCTGCACCCAAATCAAATTTACGTCCTTTTTTTCCCCACAAATAGATTTTTCTTTCTGTGGTATTTGATCGCCTGTGTGGTTTTTATTTTTTGCGCTATAAACAAAAAAAGACCAACAATTATGAGAAAAAAAAAAAAAAAAAAACACAACAATATTTTTGACTTTTTGCTATTAAACATGTCCAGTAAAAAAAATTTAAATAAATCAAATTTCATCACAAATGTAGGCTAAAATGTATTCTGCAACAACATGTTTTTGCTAAAAAAAAAAAAATCCCAATACATGTAAATTAACTGGTTTACATGAAAGTTATAGCGTTTAAAATGATATATACTGGCATTTTATTTTTACTAGTAATGGCAGCAATCAGCAACTTATAGCTGAACTGCGGGACTGTGGTGGGCATTCTGACACTGGGGAGAACTAACTTGGTGTCACTGACATCCCCAGTGACACCAATGCAGTGATCAGTGCTAATAAAAAGCACTGACACTGTACTAATGGCACTGGGCAGAAAGGGGTTAAATGTGGGGCGATCAAAGAGTTAACTGTGTGCTGTGTGTGTGTTTTCCACTGTAAGCATACTGCTTTGTATGGCTCTGCTATGCAGAGCCATACAAAGCAGTGTGCAGTAGATGACAAGGGAGAGATCTGTATTGTTTACATACAGGTCTCTCCCCCGTTGGAAATCCTCGGAGATCGCAGATTGCCAGTGGGGAATCACTGGCCGGGACCTGATGATTGACAGGCCACGAATGGCGGAGGGCCCCCTGCCCGAAACTACAAAATCACGTATATATACACACGTGATTTTGCGCACACCGTGCCACCCTGTAGCAGTATTTCTGATATAAGGCAGCGTGGAAGTGATTAAAGGATAAGTTCACCTTTAAATAAAAATTTTTACAATGCGCAATTTTTTTTGCCAGTAAAAAAATGTGCATTTACTATGCTTTGTTTTGGAAAGCATTGCACCAGCGATCTGCTGCAGAACTGTCAGTGCTTCTGTGTGCTCGTACCTTGTACAAGCAGGCAGATACAGTCAGACAGTTCAGAATCAATGAACTACACAGCACAGTGGCAGTTCATTGAGAACAGCAAAGGCAGTTGGAAATTGTAATTTTCCCATTCACAAAATATTGTGAATAAGTTACGTGTCCGGGCAGGCGGAGCCACGCACAGCCACATTTTTAAAAAAAAATTGTGACAGTTAGGAGGGGGATGGGGGGAGAAGATTCCCTGCTAGCTGTCCAAAACGGGGAGCAGGGGCCGGTACTTTTGTAACATGTTACACCCTGAATATGGGTGTACCATGTACCATGTTATGAAAGGTAAACTTATCCTTTAAGAAGGAACATACATGGCACTGAACTTAACAGAACACTGCAAAACAGTTCCAAAACAAAAACCAGTGAACTATTTGAAAAAATTAGGGTGCTCAAAAGACAAACTACAAAATCTATTCAGATACATACAAATGGGGTTTCCATTGTAATTCTCCCATAATCTCTTTAAACCCAGTCAACTGTGCAAACTTTGACAGCTGGTTTCCCAGCCCAGCACATTTATTTCTAGTCTGAACACGTCACAATACAGTGATGGCCCACACCTCAGCCAATCAAAAGTGCTGACTTCAAAAGCATGGGCTCTTTCAATAGGTTTTTATTAATTTTCAATAAAATACAAACACCTCCCTGCAATACACAGGAGGAAGAGAGGAAAAGAAAGTAAAAAAAAAAAAAAAAAAACACATATAGCATTTCCAACAATGAGGATTGACACATTCCAGTGTAACAGGAATAGGTGAAGGCACAGCGATAACCTGACCATGCATAAAGGCCCAAAAAAAAAGTAGAAAATAAAGAAACGGGAGTAGAACAAGAGAGAGAAGAAAAAAAATAAAAAAGAAGGGGGGGGGGGGGGAGTGGAGGTACGCCCCCATCATCTCTCGGGCAGGTAGATAGTCCCAAGTCACGGAGAGCTCGACAGATATCTGATCCACAGGTCTCAAATCTTTTCAAAAAGGGCCATCCTTTCTTGAAGGATCGGCGATAGGCGTTCACTCATCATGATCCATGTCAGTTTAGCCTTCAAAAAGGTAGAACGGAATCACAGGAGACTTGCAAGACCGCGCAATGGAAATTCTGTTGTAAAAAGCAATGTTTTCAACCGTAGCACAAGTATCAATGCCCCTTCCACTTACCCAGTAGGGCCTGCTGAGGGCTTTTTCTGAGATTCATCTGGGTGAAAGAATAGATAAAGTTGCATGTGCGTATCAAAAACAACCGGACTTTCGGACACAACCACCAAACATGGAGCACTGTCCCTGTTTGGCCACAGCCGTGAAAGCAGGTGAGGCATGCGGAACACAGGACGCCACCCACACAGGTACCATGTACCATCTCAGGAGGACCTTATAATTTGCTTCTATCAACGATGTGTTGATGAGCAACTGAGAAGCATATTGAGCAAGTTTACTCCACTCATCCTCATCCATCTGCTCACCCAGATCTCGCTCACATCTGTCCATGTAAGGCAATTTAGAGTCGTCGGAATATAACAGGACATAGATTTTAGATATGAATCCTCTCTGCTTATATCATAATTCTTACATACATGTTCCATTAGCGTGAAAGCAGTCAGATCTCCATTGCGCCTTTGTGTCACTATGAAATAAGCTATTTGAATATACAGTATCTCCTAGAGTGAGTACACCCCTCACATTTTTGTAAATATTTTTTCTTTTCATGTGACAACACTGAAGAAATGGCTAATTGGGCCCAATTTGGACATTTTCACTTAGGGGTGTACTCACTTTTGTTGCCAGTGGTTTAGACATTAATGGCTGTGTGTTGAGTTATTTTTGAGGGGACATCAAATTTACACTGTTATACAAGCTGTACACTCACTACTTTACATTGTAGGAAAGAGTCATTTCTTCAGTGTTGTCACATGAAAAGATATAATAAAATATTTACAAAAATGTGAGGGGTGTACTCACTTCTGTGAGATACTGTAGCGGAACATTTCTGTGGATGGGAACTGGTATTGATTCATTAAGTATTGTTTTGTCAGAGCCCCCTTATGGTCACATAGATCCGCAATACGGAGAAGTCCTTTATTTGTCCACCAGTCAAAAGTGCATAGATTAAGACCCGGGATGAAACTGGCGTTACCTAGTAGTGGTGCCAGGGGGTGTGTGTGGGGATTTAAAATTATGTTGGGCTGCCAGTCTATCCCAGAGGCTGAGGGAAACCGATAACGTTGGACAGAGTATGGTCGGTCTATCCCGCGCCCTCAACACATCAAATGGCTGATTTGTTTCGTCGAGATGGAAGAGGACTCCAACCCCATCCATTGTGAAAGTGGTCGCCGTGAGTTGAAATGAATCAGTTGTGCCAGTGGGGCAGCATAAACATATTTTACCAGGTCTGGTAATCCCAAACCGCTTTAGTTTTGTGTATTGTGTGCGTCTATTTACTCTAAGCATTTTATCTCCCCACCAAACCTTAACAGTTTCCTTTGAAAAACATGGGCTTTATTTACCAAACTGCCATAGGGAAGATTTCTTAGTGCTAAAAAAAAGTGTCACTGCCTGCACACTATGGGGGTTATTTACTAAAATTGGAGAGTGAAAAATCTGGTGCAGCACTGCATAGAAACCAATAAGCTTTCAGGTTTTATTGCCAAAGCTTAATTGAACAAGCTGAAGTTAGAAGTTGATTGGCTACCATGCACAGCCACACCAGATTCTGAGTGCGCCAGTTTTAGTAAATCTCCCCCTTTGACCCTTAAATTTAAACTAACCCTTAGGTCACCCCTCTCTGCACCTGAACTCTAAGAGCTTGTTCACACTAGCGGTTGAGATACATTTTCACCACTCCCCTTTAGTTGCAGAGGCAGCAGCTGGGGGTGTACACATGCCACAGAAGATCTTACACCCCATTGCTTTTGGTGGGCATAGCACCTGATAAGTACAACTTATTGAAGTGGATGGGGCCCCTCTACTGCACTGTAACCATATTCAGAGCACGCTAGTAAGGGTTGTCAGCCTGAGACACGTAAGCAAACCTTCCATGCTTTTATTCAATGTAAGGTACTGTTCCCTGTAAGTCAGAAGCCATCCAACGTTCTAAACATTGGGCCAGTTTACTGTATTTCAGATTTTACAAGAGCTGTTCTGTTGATGTAGAAGAAAATGCCCTAGCGTCCATAGGGGGTAAACAATGCCTCAGTCTTGGTGGTCAGTGGGAGCAAAAAAATGTACAGGCCTATTGTCAGCAGTAGGATGAATCATGCCCTATCACTGGTTTTAGTGGGAGGAATAGTGCCCCATTTTTTTGGGTCAGTGGGAGACAGTGCCCAGTCGTTGATGTCCATGGAAAGAATAGTGCCCCTATGTTGGTCTCAGTAGGAGGAATAGTGTTCTTTTGTTCATTAGTGGGAGAAATTATGCCCTCCTGTTGGTGTCATTGGAATTCATAGCGCCCTTTTGCTCCATCATTGCTGTCAAGTAGATGCAATTATGTCCCACTGTTCGTGGCAGTGGAAGGAATAATGCCTCGCTGGCATCAGATAGAGGCACAGTGCCCCAAGGGCCAGATAAAGGAAAGCAAAAGGCCACATCCGGCTCATGGGCTGCAGTTTGGAGACCACTGCTGAATGTAAAAGATGACAGTGGGTAAAAGTAAGTGTCACTACCACATAACATAAAAGGCAGGTTTTTTTAACTTACTCAGCAGGCGGTCGGGCACTGGATGCCCCTGCAGAACTTGTGCTTGGCTCCTCCACAACACCACCTCCATCCAAGAACATAGTGACAGCCATTTCTAGATTGTGATTGCATGCTTCTAACATATGCTTGCCCACACTTTCACTGGCTCCTGCATGGTAAAAAAAAAAATATTGTGAATTCCATGTTATACAAGTTTACAAGACTGCAGTTGAAGAACTTACATTATTTATAAAAAGTATTATAAGGTGACACTGAAAATCTGAAATTTGATGATTATTATTATACAGGATTTATATAGCGCCAACAGTTTTCTCAGCGCTTTACAATATAACGGGAGACAATACAGCAACAATACAGTTCAATACAAGAGGGATAGGAGGGCCCTGCTCCTTGGAACTTACAATCTAGGAGGGAGGGGCTGGTGGTACAAAAGGTAATAACTGTAGGGTATGGACTGGTAGGAGGAATAGAAGATTCCATAAGGCAGAATAGACTTTTCTGAAGAGATAGGTTTTCAGAGATTGCCTAAAAGGAGGCAGAGTAGGCAGTAGTCGGATAGATTGGGGTAGAGAGTTCCAGAGGATGGGGTAGGCTTTAGAGAAGTCCTGTTGATGAGCATGGGATGAGGAGACAAATGAGCTAGACAGCAGGTCGTGGGAGGAGCAGAGAGGACAGTTTGGGTGATATTTGGAGATAAGATTGGTGATGTAATTTGGGGCTGAGTTATAAATGGCTTTATATGTTATTGTTAATGTTTTGAATTTTATTCATTGGGCAATGGGAAACCAGTGGAGGAATTTGGCAGAGAGGGATGGCAGATATGGAACGGTTAGTAAGGTGGATGAGTCTGGCAGCAGCATTCATGACAGACTGAGGAGGGGATAGCCTGCGATTAAGTAAGCCAATGAGGAGGAAGTTACAAAAGTCAAAGCGAGAGATAACCAGGGAATGAATACATTTCTTAGTGGTTTCGGTGGTTAGGAACGGGTGAATCTTGGAGATGTTGCAGAGCTGAAGTCTACAATATTTGGACAGTGAATGAATTTGGGGCTGAAAGGACAGATGGGAGTCTAGAATTACACCTAGTACCCTGGCATGAGGGGAGGGACTGATGGTTGTATTATTGATCTTGATGGAGAAGTCAGGGGAGGGAGCATGGGCTGGGGGGAATACTAAGAGCTTAGTTTTGGAAAGATTTAGTTTGATCATCTACGCTGATATGTCACTTAGTAGGTAAGTAAAGCACGAGGAGACTGAAAGGCGAGGGGAGTGTAGAAAGATAGATGATTTACTAAACGTATGGCAGTTAGCATATGGTTATTGCTTTTTGCATTGTTTTTATTATATATACACCAGTCAGTTCAACTTAGACAACCTCCCCTAATGTACCACCTACACATGGCACATGACACAGTTTCTATGCAGGAAAAAGGAACCTTCGAATAATAGAGAGATCACTGACATCCAAAGGCATTGCATTGACAGCCCCATCTTGGGATCGTCCCTTCTAGAGGGGGAGGTCCTAGGGTCAAGTCTGTCATTGCAATGCCTGTAGATGTCTTTTACAATAAACGTGAATATTGGTGATCTTTCCAATGTATGGCAGTTGTTATTTCCTGCACAGAGTCTGTGAGAGTGGACAGCTCAACTTGCCTCCAACATCCAGAGTTGGAGCGGTGGTGGGGAGAAGCAGCTTGAAGCAGAGAACATCTTATTAATGTCATCATGACCAAGTATCTGCTGGAGAAGACAGAGACACAACAGATGTGTCCTAACCAACATTCATCTCAGTGGTCAGTGTGGACTATTCCACTTGCAGTTTCTATGTACAGTTTTCATGCATTTCTAAAGCAGGCAGTGTAAGCACACTACTCACCTAAAGAAAACCCACTTATCAGGGCCGAGAACAATAGAGTGACCATTACCAGTGTGTGTCACCTAGCCATCATAGGATAAACAAATTACAACTGATTGTATTTTTTTTCTAGTGTTACTGGACAGGACGTCAGACACTTACCTCAAATTCACCTCCAGAAAAAATGTATTTTTGCATTCAAAAGCAGAACTCCACACAGCCAAAAAAATAGTCAAATAAAAGATAAAATAACAAAACCAGATTTTAAACTAGATTTCTTCAGTCTAAAGGCCAGCATCCTTCAACCCTCTTCCTCTGAGCCCAAGTCATCATGAACCCACCCCAGCCTGTGACTGGACAGTGAAAGGAGTAACTGCACATTGATGAGCTCAACTCTGTCATTCTGTTCTCTCCTCCTATCAGCACACGTCTTGTCAGCATCATTGATGTCACATTGGGTGGGGTCACATGTGTGATGTCCCCGGATGGCCCCGCCCCTTACCTATTTAAGAACTGTCAAACCACCTGAGCAGGCAGACGGCTGGAAGCCGTCGTCAGAAGCGAAGCCATTTTTTTTTTTTTTTAATTCTTTTTTCGGGTCGGCGGTGGAAATCGTGATTGACATTGGATCTACTGCGGGGAACATTCTTTTAGTTTTTTCTTTTAATAAAGGACTTGTCAAAGACTGTGTTCTGTCTTTTTTCACACTACACTTTTTGTTTTTTGTGAATGAGTACAAGGACCATGTACCCCATACTCATTCCGATAAGCCCCCAGCCCACAGACCCCCACAACCACCGGCCAGGGTTGTGGGGAAGAGGCCTCCCCTGCCCCAAAGCACCTTGTCCTCACTTTGAGGGCATGTGGCCTGGTATGGTTCAGGAGGGGGGGGCTAACCTGCCGGGCTGCATGCTCGGATAAGGGTCTGGTATGGATTTTGGGGGGAACCCCCACACCATTTTTTTTTTTTTATTTTGGCATGGGAGTTCCCCTCAAAATCCATACCAGACCCGAAGGGCTTGGTATGGATGGGAAGGGGGACCCCACGCCATTTTTTTTTTAAATGTATTATGGTGCCGTTTTTTAAATGTAATTACCGCTTCTTTTTTTCTTCACTATAGCTCAGAGATTCAGCTGTCACTTTCCCCCCAGATAAAAGAGAAAGTTTATTTTTAGTCTATTTCCTCAAGTTAAAAGAAACAATGTTTCCTTTTAGTTTCTTAAAAAACACAAAGCTTCCTTTAACTCTGGGGAAAGTGACAGCTCTGTGAGCTATAGTGAAGAAAAAAAAAAAAGCCGTCAATTGCATTTAAAAATTGGCACCAACATACACTTCATATTGCAAAAAAAAATTCATACACTTGTACACCGAGGCATTATTTTCAATACATTTTCATTCATAAACCGAAAAAATTACATTGACAAAGGCGTTTGTAAACTGAGGTACAGCTGTATATAGAATTTTTTTTCTTTTTAAACTGTCCATTTTAATTTCAGTTTTCGGTCAAGTGCATCCTGAATTTTTGGTTTCGGTCCAGAATTTTCATTTCCGTGTACCACTAGCTTAAATACTAAACAAAATAGTTCATGCATATGGACAGCAATAGGCATTTTTTATGCCTCTGTGAATACCCCCACACTATGCACTGCATACAAGTAAATGGCTTTCCATGACTGTATTCTTGTAAATGCCAAAGCTTCATTGCATTAGCATTTACTAGTGTGTGTGATGTATTTCCTGAAGGAGAAGCTTGAGCAGGTAAATACTGTGACAAAGAAGCCTTGGCATTTACATGAGTATACCCACCATTCATTTGTATATCAGGCTGTAAACAGCACATGGGATCCCGGGGTGTGGGAATGTACCAGGAAACTTAGGTTAGGCATAAAAGATGCTCATTACAGTCTGTGTGCATAAACCCTTAGTTTGATAAGCAGAAAACACCCTGAATATGTAACATGTACGCCTCCAGGAATTAGATCACAAATACACAACATTTAGACAACTCACAAATGAATGCTTACTGGATTTTTGTGTAAGCAAGCTGGCCAACTTTCAAAATGTTAAACTTTTTAATGGGAGTCTGGCTGCAAGAACCTGAAAAAGCTACTTGAAGTAAAACTAAAGGCAAACCATTTTTATTTTTTAGTTTTAGATAGAGTGGAGAGGGATTAGAACACCTATTAATTCCTTTCACTTCCTGTTTTGGCCAAAAACAAAAAACCAAACTGGCAGAGGTTATACCCATCCCTACTCTATCCAAAATGGAAAAAAAGTTTACTTTTAGATCTACTTTAGGAGAGTTATTTTTCAGTTGTGGGAGGGGTGGGGGGGGGGGGGGGGGGGGGGGGGGGTAGAGAGAAATGAAAGAAAGGAGGTGAGCTGAGTGAAGGCCAAACTTTTTTTTTCATTTGGATAGAGTAGGGGAGGGCTATAACCCCAGGACTGCCCCATGTTTTTTATATATATATATATATATATATATATATATATATATATATATATACACACACACACACACATTCACGTCCTCCTTTCCAGCCTATGCTTGAGAAGGGAGCGCACTTCTGCCTCTTATCGGCTTTGCGCATGCTCCGAAATGCATCGCATTGCATTCTGGACTTCCCTGCATTATCGCGCAGACGTTGCACTCCAGGGTGAACTCTGGAAGCCATCTTTTAAAACTCACACATGCCAGCCGGCTTCTTGTGAACATCCAGAGTCTCCCCCAGCGCTGACTATGGCTATTACATGAAGGACGCCGTCCTGTCCTCCATTTTCACTACACATGCCAAAGCCTTTCATTTCTCTTCCATCATGTGAGTGTTTCTTATTGTGTTCTTCAATAAATGTACCCCATACTGCACTCAGAGAAGCTTTTTTCCTTTTTTTTTTATGTTTACCCAGAGCCTGCTACAGCTACCTGAGCTTGCCCTAGTGCTATATGGACTTATTTTACACGTCATTTAGACTTTATTCAGTGCCCACTGTCATTAGGACTTGGGGAATTTGTATGATTTTTTGTTTAGTTAATACTCTTTGAGGGCTATAACCCCTCTTTTTTTCGGTGTCCTGTTGAGATTTGCCTTCACTTTCTGTCCCATAGCCAAAACAGGAAGTGAGAAATCCCTCCAAAGTGAGGTTTTCACCAGAGTCCCCATTGGAAGATTCCCCCTCTATTACTGTTGTCTTGACAACACAAAATGTGGGATTTCTGTTTTGATGATCACACTAAATAGGACAAATACGTGAATCTTCATATCGGGGAGACAGACGGCAATAAAAACCGACAGGTGCTCGGATCCCTCCACACTGTCTGAGGCTTAAAGAACACGTCTTGCCTTTAGTTATACTCAACCAATTGGGGAGGGGGGGCTACTGCAAGGGTCCTATTTGTGGGCTTTAAATGCCTCGCCCCTTCCTGAATGTGTGCAATGTGCCTGAAGGGGACACAGGCCACCCCCAAGGAGCCCCGAATCTGTCTATCAGTGTGCACAGTGTCTGATGATGAGCCCTGCCAGCCCCAGGCACTGAGCACTCCATGTGACATGTGTACCCCCCAGATCTGCTCAGCACATAGCTGGAGGTCAGGCCGCCCCCCTCTTACCTGTGATGGACAGGAACTCCTTCAACAGCTGAGCAGACACCCCACAATCTGCCTCCATCTTCCCCGCGCCAAGCAACAACAAGCTGCGACGTCACTGCCTGCGCCGCTGCCACCACCTAATGCCCCGCCTAGAGCACACACAGACACAAGAGGCAGACTCAACTCCCCGCCGATATGTCGCCGAAACTGCTTCATACACCTAACAGCAACAACAAGACTCTTCGGTTCTCGAACTTTATTTTTGCCTATCAGCCAGCCGAGCACACAGCGTTGTAGGGCACTTTGCGTTACCTAACGTCTGTGCATTCGCAGTCCTCGATGGCGGCCATGTTTCCGGAGACCAGTTCCTGTACACTGAAGGTTTCTCCTCCCTCTGACGGGAAGACAAAGTTTAGAGCGTATCATGTCCCTCTGAAAACTTAGCTCGCATTCAATCTAGCCTAGACACCTATTTCAAATAAACTTTATTGATCTTTTTTTTTTACTGAGCATAGTTGTCAACAATTTAAAGTAGGTCTTTGGATCCTCTTGCTCCTGATCTGTGATGAAGCAGCAGAGAATATATATGCCAGCAAAGGTGTATTGATCAATACAAATAAACATGAAGGGGAGCTCCAACTTCAATATTGGTGGTGAAGAAGTCACATATGTTCTTAGGTTACATTCACACAGTTGCATTCTTTTTTAATAATGTAATTTTAATAACACATTTTATTGGAATAACAAAGTACACATGTACATGGCACTGGAATTTAAAGAGGAACTAAACCCCCACTAGCCTTTATAGCCAAGCAAGCTGCCATCTTTCCTTCTGTTTGACCTGCAGTCACCATGATGCTGCACACGTGATCAGTTATGACATCGGCCATTTCATGGTTTGACACTTCCATTGAGAGCACAAACACCTGTGACAGTTATAATTCATGGCAAACCTTGAATGTAACTCACACGGGGAACAGTTAAAGTGTTACTAAACCCCCAGCAGTAAAATCAGCCTCTATATGCAGTAAAGCATGCTTGTTATACTCACTGTGGAACCTAAGGGGTTAATCCTCCACATTATGTAAAAAGGTTGTTTGATCATGTCTTCTCTGATCCTCTCCTTCTTCCAGTGTCTCCTAAATATCTCCTGATAGAACAGAGGCTCGGTGGCAAGCTGCACATGCTCAGTTTAGATTGTATTGCTAGAGAGTTTTTGTTTTTCTTGGGAGAGTGCATGTGATCAGCACAGGGCCAATCAGCACTCTCCAGAAGTCAGGGGTCCTGCATCCTCCTAGAGCAGAATGAAAACTGATAGAACAGAGGCACGGGGGCATGCTTAGTTTGGTGTGTATTGCTAGAGTGTTTTTTTTTCTCCTGGGAGAGTGTATACGATCAGCAAGAGGGACAGGGGTTCTGCATCCTCCTAGAGCAAGAAGAAAACTCCTCCTACAAGCTTTAACCAGTGCTCTGCTGAACACTGACAGAAGTCACAAGACTGCTCTAACTGCTATGAGAACAGGTATTTAGCAGTTTATATTTAATAAAATAATTGCATTTCCGTGTTCTGTACTGTGGGAGACCAGATATAGTGAATGCAGGGTCCGGGGGTTTAGTAACACTTTTTAAACCAATGGGTTTAGTTTCACTTTAAGATATATGTATATTAAAGCGCAACTAGACCAGCTGATTTACAGCAGAAGTTTACTCATAACAGTACATGTAAATATGTAAATGTTGCACCTTTTGAGGTTTTATGGTTACAGCACTTTGTGTATAGTATTGAACATGATTTATTTTGTTATTTGAGCAGCACAGCACTTTATAATATCTTGCTTTACTCATTACAATTGATTTTAAAAAATGTACTTTAGCAAGGAACATGCATTCCACATTAATAATTATGCTACTAAAATTAGTGAGTGCTGTAAATTGTCTCCAGCATTGTTCCAGTTTCTTCTTGCTGGTGGCTGCCATTTTGTTGAAGCCCAGAGCAGCAGTTAAAGCAGAACTTTCCTTTCAGCCAAGGAAGCTGCCATCTGTTTGATTAGTAACTGCCATGATGCTGCACATGTGGTTAGTTATGAGACCAGCCATTTGATGGTTTGACAGTTTGGTTGAGAACACAAGCAAATGTGACTGCTAGCATTCCTGTCATGCCGAGAATGTAACTGTTCTTGAAGCTGTTAAATGGCTAGGTTACTTTTAGCTTTGATCTTTAGACTGTCAGCAGATCAGCCTCTACAAATATGGCACAGTGCCTAAAAATGGAGATCAACTGAGCATGTGCAGAGCAGGGTGAGACAGTGTATCACTGGATTTTAAACAGTATAGGCACTTAGTTTTAATGTTTTACATTGCTGTACCTGCAAAAGTGTCCAGCCTGAAGTGATCTAGCAGGACTTAATTTTCTGATTAAAGTTCCACTTTAACTTTTCCTCAAAACAAGGTATGCCTCTAACAATAACTGATAACTTTACATGGGCATCAGCCATTCTGTAACGTTTTTCCTAAAAAAAAAAAAAGCGGATTTGGTTTACATCAGTTAACATGTCTTCCATTTAGTTCTGTTCCGTTTACATCCATTTTTCATCCAGTTACATGACTGCTGAGAAGCATAGACTCATTTATGACCAATGTAGCACTACCCCCTTAGGGACTGCTGCTGAATTTGGGTCCCCCTATAGTCCTGCACAGCCAGTCAGTTAGCATTCTCCATACAGCTTTCATCCACAACCAGAATTCAGGACTTGAGCATTGGTTCTGTAATTTTATTGAGGATATTAAACTTGGATGGGGTAAGGGGTGTAGAATGCCCAAGGTTTCCCACCAGAGTGCTCCTTCCCCTATCCGCCAAGGGAGTGCAGGTGTACTCACTACAATCCTCTCCTGTACCACTTGTGGATAGGCTGCTGCTATCAGGCCTATCAGCTGGGCTGTTCCTTTCCTGCCACACAGGTGGTAATCTCTCAATGGGCCAGTGAGTCCTGAGGTTTCCTCCTTTCCAGCTCCAGGCTCACAGGCAGGCCCCATCCCACTAGGCCTTCTGACAGTCTTCCACCTCAACCTCACATCAGATGGATGAAAATCAGACAAACAGACGCCTGTGTGAAATGGACCTACAGTTACCAGCCAGGGGTGGACTGACAACTCATGGGGCCCCCGGGCATTAGGGGATCATGGGGCCCCTGTGTCCTTGCCCAAACTCAAAAAAGCCTATAAAAAAGGTACCAGGGGCATCTCATGGGGCCCCCTACTGACCCCGGGCCCTCGGGCAGTGCCCGAGTTTCCAAATGGTCAGTCCGCCCCTGTTACCAGCACACGTCAGTTCCTACCTGAACTGTCAAACCATCAAATGGCTGGTGTCACAACAGATCACATGTGCAGCACCATAGAATCTACAGATCAAACAGAGGCTAAGATGGCAGCTTCCTTGCATTTAAAGGATAGGAGTATAATGAGTTTGCTGTTACCACCATGTGGACCTGGCCCACTTCTTCTAGCATAGGACATTCACCCACCTGTTGTTTTAGGGGGAACTCTTCCATATCTATCAATCAACTTGTGTACAACCAGCCTGTTGGAAAATTTTCTCTTGATTTGGGCTGCCAGCTGTAGTCAACAGTACTGATGAATGTATTCTGACGGTGAGGAAGTCTTCCTACTGTCAGAGTGTAATAGCTCAGTGGGAGGGAATTCCCCATCTACACCGAGTACATAGATGGGGAAATCAAGTCATTTTCTTTCATTGAACCTGCCGGTTGAATGAAATAAAATGACTGATGAACGGCAAGTCTTAGCTGTCAGATCCTTAGCGCTCGGCTGAGCATTTTGTTCATGAGTACCTCAGTATTGTTTTTAATGTGACCTTTCCATAAAGAAGTTGTTTTACGCTATGAGCTTTTTCTCTTTTTGTACTTCTTTGAATGGGAACCTCTTTTAATGAGTGTGATGAAGCTCGTAGGAACCAAAGGCTTTCCTGTGCCTTTGAGCAATGTTACCGTGAACTGTTTAACCATTTGGCAACAAGTGGTCAGTCAGATCTAGTCAGTGCATTATGAAGGGGGTGAAGCACAGTCACGTTACCGTATTGAAGATTTACTGTTACATTTCTCACATTGTGGAAGATGTTTGTTTAAAAACTGCATGGTTTATAGCTGATTTATTATAAGCAGTTGGACAGATTCTGCACAACTTATGCAGTGGCTAGGGCTCTGGCAAGTCTTTGTAGTGTTAGAGATATTCCTGTTCACTTCTGGTCCCAGAGATAAAACAAGGAGGAAAGCTCTCCCAAGTGTGGGGAATTACCCACTAAGTTGTCACGAGGACAGGTGTCCCCTTTAGAAACCTCCCCCTTCTTTTATAATAACAACTGTAAAATGATGTAATTCCCATAATTTTTTCTCTCTGTGACAACAGTCATAGAACATATACGAAAGTTGAATTTATTTAAACAGAGATAAAACGCCAACAGGGGTTTTCACAGTTCCACATACTGTACCATCCAAAACTAAAAAGAATGTTTGGCTTTGAAATAATATTAATTGCTTGTTATTTTAAAAGAATGAACCCTTCAAATTAACGAAGATGTGAAAAACTTGGAAATAAGGTCCTTGAAAATCAAGCAGACACCAAACGTATAGTCTTGCTTCATTTTACAAGGTATGATAATGCACAGCGGGGCGTCGTTATGGGAGATGCCACCTCCTCCATTCTGCCTGTAGGAGAAGGATTCCTTGTTGAATCTGATCCCCAAAAGTATTCATAGACCACACAGCACAATGTTTTTGAAAGAGAATCATGTGAAAATGCAATAATAGATGAAGCAACATAATAAACTGCTTTGATTGCAGAGTATTTCCCTTTCCCCATCTAGCTTGGTGTATTCAATCTACAACACAGAGAAATCCAACTGTCAGAGGTCAGGTGGTTAAAAAAGCTGGAATCCGCCTTTCACATATCTGGTTTCTCAAAATAAAACTTATCTCCCATTGTTCTTACCTCAGCGGTTAGGAAAAGATGCATTTTTACTGCGCCCATACTAGAGTATTTTCAAAGCTAAATCCACCAGTACACACACAACTT